TGAGAAACTGAAAGTGTAAATAAGGATTAAAATGATTAAAACGAATAACTGATAATTTGAAATAGGAGAAGGTCCAAAGGTGTAGGGGTGGTGGAAGGGAAAGGGGAAAGGGAAGAAGAGAAAGGAAAAATTATGAGAAAAGAAAAAAATGGAAATGAAATCTATGTAAATAGGGAAGGGTGGTGGGGGTGAAGGGTGCACAGGTAATGGAGAAAAATATAAGAACCAAGATACATCATGTACAGGTACAAGCACCCAGTGATAAATGTAAACGTATTGTATACCTAAAATGTACCAATAAAAGATTTTTTTAAAAAAGCAATAAACATCAATAAGCAATAAAGCCCCCGCCCCAAAAGAAAGGCATGGTCCAGGGCCAGGGATTTAGCTCAGTGGTTCCAGCGCCTGCCTCTTAAGCGCAAGGTCCAGAGTTCGATCCCTGGTACCAAAAACAAAAGCATGCTCCAGTTGAAATAGGTTACTACAAGAGAGCCATGGTATTTCTCATCACCCACACTCACCTCCTATCCTGACCCTGCCTCTGACCTCTTTGAGGAGTCTGACACCTTTCCTGTGTGTCTCCAGAACTCACGGTCCCTTCTCCGGGTGAAGGCAGACTGCCCATCCCCTAGTCTGGTTATCGCCTCTCCATGTTTGTAGCAGGTCCCATCTCCTCTTAACGACTCTGGGGACCATCACTCAAGTGAGTTTCTGTCTCCTAGACATCGATTTCACCTCTTTCCTGTACCATACAAACATGCTATGATTTTTCTAATCTTGTTTTTTATTTTGTTTTTTAGACAGGGTCTCCCTGTGAAGTGCAGGCTTACTATATAGTAAACTTACTGTGTAACCCAGGGTAGCCTCAAACTCATGATCCTCCTGCCTCAGCCTGCCTAGTGCTAGAATTACAGGAGTGTGCCACCATGTCCTGAAACTTTTTCTAATCTTAATAGAAGAAAGAAAACTCTTAACACCACACTTTTTCTTTTTTTGAGACAGAGTCTCACTGTATAATTCAGGCTGGCCTTGAACTCGATATGTAGCCCAAGCTGGCCTCAAACTCATGCCAATTCTCCTGCCTCAGTCTCCCGAGTACCGGGATTATAGGCATGCACCACATGCCTGGCTAACACCACATATTTATGCCCTCATCATTTCACCAAGATTATTCTTGTCTAGGCAACTTCATATCCATGGGTCAGCTTCCAATCCCCATCCTACTTGACCCTATCACCCATTTAACCCATTGGGTCACCCTCTTCTTTCAACATCCCTTTAATTACTTCTAGGATTCCAGACTCTTCTGCTTTTCCTCCACCTTTACTGGTAGATACTGGTTTGCTGGTTTATCTTCTCTCTTCAACCTACACATGCTGACTTACCCAAGGGTTCAGGCCTTTTCTAGACTCAATATCTTGGTGACCTTATCAGCTTTAATTATCACCCACATGCTAACTACTTTCAAAATGATAGCACCACCCTTCACCTATCTGTGGTGCTCACTGGCCTGTGCACCGATGCTATGTATCCCTTGCCCATCACTGGTACCCTGCTGGCATCTGTTACAAGGTTTATGGCTAGAGAACATGTGACCTTCTCTTTGTCCACTCAGTCAGGACTTCGCAACTCCCCTTGCTGAGCCAGCTTCACTTTAGACCGGGCGCTCTCCTGAAGTCTGGGTGTGACATCCATTTCATTTCATCACCTAGGCTGCAATGGCATTAGATAGGAAAAAATAAACTTTGGAACAGACTTAATACTTTTAAGAATTTAAATACTTAATACTTTTAAGAACTTAGAGGATATGGGCCGGGGATTTAGCTCAGTGGTTCCACCATCTGCCTCGCAAGCACAAGGACTGGAGTTTGATCCTTGGTACCAAAAAAAAAAAGAACTCAGAGGATAAACAAATTGTTTATTATGTCAATAAAATAAGTGCAGGAGCACTTAAGTTTGTAGGTAAAGTCCCTATCCTGTCTCTCTCTTTCTTTTTGTACTGGGAATTGAACTCGGGTCCTTGCGGCTGCACAGCTGCCCTATCTCTTCTAGGGCCTTTGTCCTGTCTGTCTGCCTTAGCACCCATACAGCAGTCTCTATTACTGAGCCAAACATAGGGCCTCCTCCTGGTGACAAATGCCATAGCCTGCTATGCATCTCCTTTCTTCCTCTGTTGCCTAGAGGTCTTGGCTTCCCTTCTGACATCCTCTATAGCCCTAGAACTCACACCTAGGGCTTTCCCCTAGCAGAAAATCCACTTTATTTAGACAAAAACCCTTAGAACTCTCACTTGAGAATGGGTGTTGCCACCGATGCAGAATTCCCAAGGACAAGAGAGACCAAATGGGAATCAGGAGGATTTCATTACGTGTATACCCGACCCAGCCAAACCCATGTCCAGAGTTCTGGGTGACTGAACAAAGGACAGTTTCAGCTTCTGTATCTTTAGTTGGGGGTGAGGGGATGGTCTTTCTAGTGATGCAGGGAGTGAGTCTGGAACAGAACGAGGGCAGACAGTTGAGTCATTTACCCTTGTAAGAAGACAGAGTCTTATGAATCACATGGGAACAGGGTGCCATAAACTTTGTTACAGAACATAGTTGTTTACAGAGCCTGTGGTTCCTCAGGGTTTACAAAACTTTATTTACAGGAATATGACTGTCTACCTTATCAGTATCGGGGGAGGTCAGCACTTATGGGAAAGGGGGGAGAACTGAGTGGGGAGCTGCCAGACTGCTTTCAGCTAGGAGAACTGATTTTCTTTTAAATTCTGATTTATCACCACCAGCTCCTTCGTGGTCATTGGCCGTGATTTTGAAAATAGCTCTAAAATTTTAATTATCCTTGTGACCACCTCAGGGTTCACTCTTCTTCGCATTTGGTCCTCTAAACTTAGAATTTCTGAGAGGCTTTTTGTAGAAAAATGTACCTGAGGGCCGGGGATTTAGCTCTGGTTTCCCCGCCTGCTGAGCAAGCGCAAGGACCCAAGTTCGATCCCCAGTACCAAAAAAAAAGAAAAAAAGAAAATGTACCTGTACCGTTGTTTCCTCTTATGTGTCATTTGGACAATGGATTCCTCTGCCTTAGATTTTCCCATCAATCTTGTCCTATATTCTCTCTATCTTCAGGAATTTTTCAAATATAGTATTTCTTTCAAGGCAGTGTCTCCAGGGTTTTTCAGTGGGATTAGAGGGGACATAGATGTAAAGCTTAGTTTGTCATCTTTATCCATTTCCCCACCATAGTTTTTTGTTTGTTTTTTGGGTTTTTTTGGGGGGGGGTGGTACCAGGGATCGAACTTGGGACCTTGCGCTTGCGAGGCAGATGGTGGAACCACTGAGCTAAATCCCTGGCCCAATAGTTTTAATTTTTAAAAAAACTCTCAACTGTGACCAGGTAATAATTCATAATATGGTTCATACTCATTATTGGAGAACAAAATGCACAATAAGCAGATGCGCATGGAGAGACCTATGAGCAGAGCATAACCTCCTTTAGCAACTCCTTTTTCCATTTCTCTCAATTGATAAAGTTCCTGTTTTCTTTCCAATCCTAGAACTGCTGACCATAGGAATTTCCTCGGTGCAGCATCCCCAAGGAAGCTACCTTTTGGAGACCCTACAATCTCTCTTCTTTGCTTCTTCCTTATCTGAGCAGAAACACTTTGTCGTTCTGGTACACCTGGCAAGTCCCGACCCCAAGTGGCTTGGTCGAATGACCTCCAACATCTCAGCCCTCTTTAAACCATACATCCAGGCCAGACAGCTAGTAGTGATCAACACACAAGGTAAAAGCTATCTTCCTCTGAAGAACCTTAAGAAAAAGTTTAATGACACCCCCGCCTCTGTAGCCTTTCGCTCGAAGCAGAACATGGATTATGCCTTCCTCATGAACTTTGCTGCCAACCACTCTGACTACTTCTTGGTGATTGAAGATGATGTGAAATGTGTTCCTGGATTCGTCACCCAGATTGCCAGTATATTGTCTGCCTGGGAAAAAAGGTTCTGGATGACTCTGGAGTTCTGTCCACTGGGCCTCACTGGAAAACTCTTTCACACTAGCGACCTCCCTTCCTTTGTTCGCTTCCTTCTCCTCTTTTACCAAGGAATGCCTTGTGATAACCTCCTCTCCTACTTTCTTAACCTCAGTCACCAAAAAACAATCCAATTTTCTCCATCTCTCTTCCAGCATAGAGGTGATTATTCCTTGGAGGGCAAATTCAATAGCCTCAAAGCAACTGAGGAAAACAATATGGGCTGTCCCAGCAATCCTGCTGCCACCCTTTATACGAACCTGAATGTCACCAGTGACTCTGTTCTCATGAATGCCTACAGCTTGGATAAGAATTACTTTTATACCAGGGAGGCGAAGGCTGGCAGCTACCTGACTGTGTTTTTACACATGCCTGCCACAGTGTTCCATGTTCAAGTGCTCACAGGCTCTGAACTAAAAGAGGAGAATCGATTGGAAGAGGGACAAGTAGAACTGGGATATGATTCTACTAATAGAGTCATTGACTGTGATGACTATGTTCTCCTGGGGATGCTAGTAAATGGCACCCTGAATAAGCATGTATTATCTGAGGACTCGGGGAAGCAGGTCAAATGTGTAAGACTGCTTGTAACAGGCACTCCACCCTCTGGATTAATAGTGAGGCACATCAACCTCTGGGTTAAGTAAAGTTTAAGGAATATAAAGAGAAGCCACCAGAAGTTCTAGGTTGGAGGCAGAGTCTACAGAGTTAACAAAACATTAAAGTCTTGAAGTTCTGAGGAAAATCTCTTTCCTAGGCCCTTTCAAGATTCTTAATACAGAAGACCCAGCCTGTTAAAAGACAGAGTGAAGGCAACATCCTCTTGGTCCCAGAGACTTAAAAGTGGGAGATGGAAGCTTATTTTTTAAAAACTTCTTGATTTTCTATCCCAAAGCACCTACTATCCAAAATTTTTTCCTTGGAGTAAGAATACCAGACCTCTAAAAATAAGAGGAATATGTGAGAGGGACTAACTGATACTGAGATCATAAGACTTCAACAACACATGAGAGAAAACAAAGGATCCTTCCAGCAGCCAAGGAATGGACTCATTAAGGACTTCCCATGTTAAAGGGAAAAGTAAATTGGCAATGAACAGGACTCTTTTCTCTGTGGCCTCTTTTTTCCATTATAAAGTACATTCAGCAAACATGGAGGCCCTTAGAGGGTACGCATAGTCCTCTCTACATATTCACACAACACACCACGGGATTCCTTTTAAATTGCATCACAATTATTAAAGACAGTTTACTATGATTTCTGTAGCTCCTTTCCCCAACACAGTCTTATCTATGGGACTGTAGGTAACTTGGATGTCCATGCCAAGGACTACTCTGGATATTTTACTAATATCTTTACCTGAGTTTGACTAGGAAGTTTTCTTTATTCTCAGAACAATCTGAGCCCTGAGCTCAACTAATGTCCAGTATCTGAGGATGGGGTTTTCCTTAGTTTGAAAACTGTAATCCGTGAAGTCAGAGAAAGAAGAAAAAGGAAAGGATCACTTTAAGAGGAATACTTGAAAAAACTAAAATCAAAAGCCAGACAAACAGCTGAAGGAGTAGTAATCAAAGTGGTGAGAAAGAGCTGGGGAATTTGGAAATAGATAATGAAATAAGAATGGGAGACAGGTTTTGGAGGCATTAGATGCAAAAGAATTGGAAAAGGGCCGGGGATTCAGCTGAGTGGTTTCACCGCCTGCTGCGCAAGCACAAGGACCCAAGTTCAATCCCTGGTACCAAAAAAAAAAAAAAAAAATTGGGAAAGCCACGAAATCCCCTACTGTGGCCAGCATGACTGCCCCAGGGCTCCCCATCAGATCCAGCTCTATGTTGGCACCAAGGCCATGCTTCCCAAACACCATGGCTGACCACAGTAGGGCCCTAAGCCAGACCTGTTCTGCCAAGATGGGAGATTCCTCTGACTTTATGTATTTTTTCCTTTTTTTTTTTTTGAGACAGGGTCTCTCTAAGTAGTTCAGGCTGGCTTGAACACATTATGTACCCCAGGCTGGCCTTGAACTCGAGGCGACCCTCCTGAGTGCTAGGATTACAGGTGTGTACCACTGAACCCAGCTTCTCTGACTTTAGTTTGGGGACTCCCTCTCAGTGTGTTTAAAACTGTCTTGCAAACAATCTTAGACTACAATCCTAGGAACTACACTCCTAGATTCTCCCTAGGTAACTGTCCCTTCTCTGTTTCCGTCTACAACTGTCTCACCTTCACCATAGTCCAAAGACGATGGCTAGTCTTGTTTTGGTGGCAGCTTCTTGCAAAGTGTGAGCCAATTCGAGTTGTACCAAGAGTGGTCTGAGAAAGCAGGTAGTGAGTTGAGGATTTAGGCCTAGCTTCCTCACAATCCTCAGGGAGTTGTAGCAATAGAGGTTAAAATGCATTCCTCCAATAAAAAGTCACAATGCCTGCTTGCTTCCTGGACCTGGGCCAATTTTCAGATCCATACTTATTGAAGATGTGACCAGGTCCCTAGAAGAAAGGACCCTGCAACACTGAAACTCATAGGTATTATAGTAGTTCTCTCCTTCTTTCCCCAAAGAGAACAACAGCCATTTATGTGAGTGACCGTCCAGGTGAGGAGGAGTAATGCCCAAACATTTTCATGACTTTTGGACACAAGGTCTGCGTTGTGTCCAAAGCATGATTTCAGCCTCCTGTTGAGTGAGAGCATAACATGGCCAGGTTATAAATGGAGTCTTTGCCAAAGTCATGCTTCCCATAGGACAACTGTGTCCCCAGGCCCACCAGTAGTCCTTTTCTCAGACTATGTGTATAATTGGAATCAATGGATTTGACAGTTGAAGAAATCCTCAAGATCCTTGGCCTATAGGATAATAACTGTGACAGTGGGGAAAACCATACTGGGGAAGATCAAGTCTCTGAAACTGACACCACCCCTGGCTAAGATAGCAAGTAAAGATCCTAGGTTGAGATGATGACACAGATTAGTGGCATTCGAGACCTAACAGAAACAGGGATGGTGTATCTGTTTATGACAAAATCTGTTTCACTCAGTTCTCTGGATCCTGCAGAAAACAGATGAATCCTGACAAATGATCATAGACTATCACAAACATGAGCAGTTAGTAGGCCTGATCACAGCTGTTGTGTCTGACATGATATCATTGCTAAAGCAGATCAATAAACCCATGGGTATATGCTGTGCAGCCATTGATTTAGTAAATGCATTTTCTCAATTCTAATTACAAAAGATAAGAAACAGTTCACATTCATATGAGATAACAACACTCACTCACATTTGCTTCAACTATGTTACCTCTCCTGCCCTTTGTCATGATGCAATCCAAAGAGATTTGGACACCCTGGACATTCCACAGAGCGTCACACCCATCCATTACATCCATTGATGACACCAAGCTGGTTAGACAGGACAAGCAAGTGACTTAGATCCTGGAGGCCTTGGTAAGAGGGTAAAAGATGAACCCTGCAAAGATTTAGTGAAGTTTTTAGGAGTGAGGGCACTGCCAACATAGTCCTTTCAAAATAGAGGACAGTCGCTACATTTTGTATCCTCTGCTATCAGAAAGGAAGTCCACTGTCCCCTAGGCTTGCTTGTGTCCTATAGGCAACAGTCGTCACACCTAGAAATTGTGCTCCAGCTTATTCATTGGGTGATACTGAAAGCTGCTGGCTTAAAGTGGGTTGTGGAGCAAGAAGTGTTTGCAACAGGTCCAGACTACAAGGCAAAAAGCCTTGCCAGTGGGCCATACACTCCAACAGGTCCTATGGTGTCAGCAGTCATGGTGATGGGGAAAGATGTGGGACAGAGTTTATGACAAGTCCCAGTGGGAGAATCATAACAGCCTTCCAGGATTCTGGAGCAAGGCCATCTCATCTACAACTAAGATGTATATAGGCCTTCTGAGGCACAGGTCTTGGAATGTAATTGACCCCTCGGAAATACAAAGTGCTTCAAGATGGGGCATACAGTGACTATGTATCCAGGACTTCCTGTAATAAGCTGAATTCTGTCATAAAGTCGAGAGTCAGAAAGTCAGAAAGCCCTAGTCACAGTCTGTCAAAGATGAAAATGATACATGTGAGTTTAAGCACAAGCAGGGCTGACTGCATAAGCTACATGAGAAGAGTTTGGACTTCATGTCACCCCACAAAGTTGCACCACAACTTGTACCTTTAGTAAGAGATTCCAGTGTCCTATGAGGCCAGCTGCTTCTGGATACTGTGCTGTAACAAAGTTGCACCACAACATCCCTCAGCTCACACTTTGGCCTTCTAGAGGG